CATGAGTTTTCTTACTTTTGCCCTTCCAATTCTCTCCCTCAACCCACTGGTAGGGAGGGTGAGCGAGCAGCTGTGTGGTGCTTGGTTGCCAACGGGGGCTAAACCACAACAGTTTTCCTTTTGGGGAACAGGGAAATGAACAGCATATGAGATATTCTGCAACCTTGTTGCCACACAATTGCTGTGAGCTTTGAGATTTTTCACTACTGGTCACCTGTGCTGTGGTGAGAGTGCAGGCTTCCTGCCTGTGACACAGCCAACATGCTCCCCAGTTTTACAGGTGGGAGCCGTGTCCTGGGAGCACTGTCCTTTGTTACCAATACACACCATTCTTTCAAACCCTGTTCTGCTGTTTCTTCCAATGCTTAAACACACATACATTTCCATTCGTACTGCATATGGTCATATCAATCCTAATATTTCTGCTTATTTCTGCTACTAATCTCTGCATGAGTTGCAGATTATTTCATTCTGTTTTGTCCAATTCATTGCTGTCCAGAACTGTACAGAAATAATGTAGGAAAAAAAGATATTCTTGTCATCACAAAAGCTGAGTGATTTTTTTTTTTGGTCTGATGTTTTCATCTGCAAAACAGGTGTATACAAGTTGAACAAAACTATTTGTGAAGTCATGTAACCATCTCCCAAACAAAATGACCTATTAGTAAAATGACACCTCATATCAGCAGGGTCATAGAATCATAGAATCATAGAATGCTTTGGGTTGGAAGGGACCTTGAGAGATCATCTAGCCCAACCCCCCTGCAGTGAGCAGGGATCCATGGAGTCCCAGCCTGTAAAATGCTTAGTAACCTGACTGCCTTGGAAAAGACATGTGATCGTGTTTGAGCCACAAAATAGTTTTGCTTCTCCCACATTATTATATTATTATTCATTTATTAAAAACTCACATTCCCTTTGTGATGACAGATTATATGCTTGTGACACTAAATCGCATCTCTCTTCCCGCACACAAACACATAGACACTTTGCCACTGATGCTCTCACCGTCAGTCTGGTTCACTATTGGAACCGGTTGCCCCTTTTTGGAGATACTCAGAACCCGACCGGACAAGGTCCTGAGCAACCCACTCCAAGTTTGCTCTGCTTTGAGCAGGGGGGGTGGGCTAGATGTCTTCCAGAGGTCCCTTCCAACATAAATTATTCTGTGATAATTATGTGATATTCTGGCATAGAGAATCTGTGGGATTTCTGCCTTGTGTGAAGGCTGTTAATTGCATTTAGCAGTTTACAAGCATGCGAATCATCAATTTCCTTTAAGAAAACAGATGTGGACCACTTGGCATACTAGGTATTCAGTAGCAAAATCCTTGACTGGAGTAAAGTCAACAGTTTATCCTAGAAATGACATGATCTGAGACATATTAGATTCTTAGAATCATAGAATCATAGAATGCTTTGGGTTGGAAGGGACCTTGAGAGATCATCGAGCCCAACCCCCCTGCAGTAAGCAGGGATTGAACCTGTGAACTTGGCGTTATTAGCGCCGTGTTCTAACCAACTGAGCTAACCCGGCTGGTCTCTTCTCACATTCTGAGCTCCAGTGATTTATAAAAATCTATTCCAGTCAAGAGAATAGAAAAATACAGTCTATCAAATAATCATTGAAATGTGCAATGTGACTGCTGTTAATGAAAACTAAGTATGAAAAGGAGAAAAAGGGTTTAAATCAGCATGCAAACTACAAGGTAACACTCTGCTAACTGTGCTAAGTAATCCTCCACGCTAACTACCACAGTCAAGAAGAAGCAAGCAAACAATACCATTGATTCTGGGGTGGAGACATGTCTGAATGTACTTTGCCTTTTTATTCTCTGCTAAGGAGGAGGCATATGGTGTATTGGAACTAAAAAGAGTTTAATCTCACCCGAGGGAACGTGCACACAGAGAGCAAGATCTTTGTGAGCAGATATTCGGAGAAGCAGAATTGTTTTCATATATATACCACAGTGCATCACCTGATTGCCATTTCCAAGGCCCAGCACAGAAAATATAGTCAAGCCATTCAAGCCAGCTAAGTCAGCTCCAAATATAACTCCTGCTGGAGGAAATTGGAAGACTTTCTTCTCATTGGAGCGGGAGTTAGGTTTAAGTACAAAACCAAACTGATCTCCAGATATTCACTGCCTTGGGACAGTGCATTAACATTTTCTATATTATCTGAATGAACCTTTATCTCAGACAAAACAGAAAGGATGTAATACAAAGACCTCAATGGGTAAAAAACATTGCTTTTAGAATTTAGTCTCCAGCACCAGAACATGAAGACCTGCTTTTAGATATGATGATGTCAGCTTTCTTGGACAGTACCTTGGCCTAATCCCATATAGTCTTTTTGTGCAATGATTTCTCCCTGCAATAAGCTCTGAATAACAATAGTTATCCAAATGCTACCATGAGGGAAAAAAAAAAAAAAAGACCCAAAAAACCAAAACACCCCACCAAAAATCTCCAACAGATACAAAGATTTAAAAAAAAACAAGAGAATGAAAGCAAAGTCAAAACTGGCCTGCTGCATATAAGTCAAAACTATGAACTCACATTAGACATCCTTTCAGAAAGTCCAAGAAACCAGCATCATGGGTTTTCAGCACTGTGCTTAGATCCTTGGAGTCTGGGCATCTCTTTTTCCCCTTGCTGTTAGTTATGGATTTAGGAAAACCTTTGGAATCTTAAAAAAATAAAGACATGCTCAAAAAATTATGTTAAAAATCCTCACCAAATGTTTAAGACAGTTGCAAAAACAATACCCATACCCATCCCACTAACTCCAGTTTTGCCCTGTAGGATTGATAGGCTGCCAGCACTGTGGCAAACAATATTGGTTACATCCTAGAGACTGCATCCTACACTGTGTTTATTTGTTCATCTTGTGTAATTTCCAAAACCAAACTATACCCAGAGGAATGAACTTAATCTCAAAGCCTACTGTGTTCTTTTTAGCAATAATATTTTTAAAGAGTAACAGTAGAATGGATTTCCCAGTCCCTTCCCTATCACCTTGGCAATGAGAGGCCCGTAAGACATCAAAAGCACAGTACCAGGTTCATTTGTAGGCCTCATGTTACCCTTTTGCTTCTCCTCAATACCTCTTCCCGAAAGAAGTTTTGTCAGTGAAGCAGCAGGTAAGGTTCTTTGACCCTACTCTCTACCAGTGATGTTAACTAGTGATTAACCAGCAGGGAGGAATCCTGCAAGGACAAACAATCAGAAGCAGTTACCAAAGAACGTTCGCTTTCTTGATGCAGCCTGGATAAAATCAGCCGGTGGAAGACCCAATACCTTCAATGTAGAAAATGAATTAATGGAGTTACTCTTAATTTCACAAACATACATAACAACTGTCAGGAGAGATGAAGTATTTCACCCTCCTCCATATGAAAAGAAGCTGAATGTAGCAGTTTACTGTGAAATGTCTACAAACCATTTCTTCTTGTGCCATTTATTGCAGAAGAAATTAAGGGATTCCTTAGAGATTTCTTACATAGAAAATGTAATAAGGGATAACTCTGGGATCTTCACTACTGCAGAAGACTCTAAGAACAAGCATGTCTGTTAATGACACATGTAGGAGGCCACATGGAGAGATTCTGTCTTTGAAAAATCTTGTACATGGCATGTACCACATGGGACTAGAAGGATCTGAACCTGGGTCTGATTTCAACATCAGCTTGCAGTTTAGTGATTGGTATGGAGTAACTAACTTGCTTTCATGGGTTGGTTTTGCACCTGTTCTAACATTTGCACTGGATAGGTGATCTGAGGTAGGAGATGTCACAGTACATTCCTAAAACTCTGAAAAACAGTTACAAAGATGACAGAACCCAACTCCTTGGTCGGGGGCAGACAGTATAAGAAGGGCCAACATCCACAAATTGTGGTTTGAGAAGTTCAGGGTGACTATTAGGAAAAACTTTTTCACCAGGTGAATGGAGCAGCATTTGAGCAGGTCACCCAGAGAGTTTCTACTCAAGCCTTTGAGGTTTTCAAGATTTGCTAGACAAAGACACAGCTGACTAATCAAATGCTAGCAAAAATATCTCTCTCAAAAGGAGTGTGGACTAAAGAGATCCAATTCAACCAACACAAATTTGATTTCTGAGAGGAGATGAGCCTGTTATAATTGGATTGCTTTTCCTTCCCCTTAGATATGCTTCTTTTGTTCTAACTTCTCCGTGCAAATTCTGACCAGATTATAATAAGTTTCCTTCAGAAGCAAGACAATGAGTGTACAAAGCAATGTTTGGCACATGAAATGGAAATAACAGTTTTGTATTAGAGCCCATCCTTTCAAAGAGCCCTTTGGCTGTAACAAACCTCCCTCTAAAAGGCCAGCCCATAGACAAATACATTTCATCATCTTGTGACATTTCTCTTTGTTGCTGGCAGTGTAGTTTATCAAATGAGTATGTAATTCAAAAGACAATCCCAAAAGTTACCTCCATGATGCAGGCAAGTTGGTCGACTTCATTTTCCCCTGGAAACAGTGGGTAGCCTGTGTAAAGTTCAGCCATGATACAGCCTAAGCTCCACATATCAACAGCCATAGCATAAGGATGACCAAGAATCACTTCAGGCGAGCGATAAAACCGGCTCTGAACATAGGTGTACACTATATCAAAACAGAAAATTAGACAACAAGCAAAATATCATAAATGGGAGAGAAATGTGGATTCCAGATTTCACAGAAAAGTGAAATACTTGTTCAGGCATCATATATCTACTCTATCCATTACAGGATTGGTCACTTAGACTCTGAAAACCTTTTCTAATTCCATCCTAAAATCAATGGGTGATGTGTTTTCCAGTATTCTATTTGGAAATTGTTCTTCCAAAAGTTTTACTGAAAGAAATTATTCTACCAGTGCTGTGATTCAGCTTACTTCATGTCCATTTTCCTATTTGGAGGTGTTGCCCTTGCACCAATCAACAGTTCTTCATTATCACAGGCTTGCACTGTGGGAAATACTGGTTTCACTGCCACCTAGGGATCATCTACTGCCTTCTGATTTCCCCATTAATGCATTATAGCCTCACAGCGGATGTCAAAATATCTCATTCCAAGATTTGGACTCATCATAATGAGTAGACTAATTCTTTTACCTCTTGTCATTCAGACAACTGACCACAATTACAGCATGCAAACTCTGCTATTTTCTTATTCCTATCTCTCTGATGGTCACTTTGTTTATATTTCTGCACTTCTTTGCATCCCCACACATTCAACATCTTTCTGGAAAGAAAGTGCCCTGAAAACTAACTGCTGCACAATATGTGATTTCACCAAATTTGTACAGTTAGAGAGTACTGCGGTGGCAATCTGTGCCCTTGTGCATCTGATCAACTGTGTAATTGTTGTCTGCTTTTTGTCTTCTTGTCACAAATAAATAGCTGACTTTTTGTTTTCTACTCTCTAATCCTGTACCAGTTGGAGGGTTGTACCAATTCTTGCCTCATCTGTCAGAGTCTCCTCAGTCATGCTCTATCTTTCTTTTCACTTGTTTTGTGTTTCAGTTTGTTACTCTCCGCAAATATTTCAGGCTGAATCTCAGATTACATTCTACTCAAACATGGGAAAACCTAAAATGATTACCCACTCCTACAAAACTGGGATGTAAATCTAATGGGCCAAGTCCCAAAATATAGATGAATAGGTCTGGCTTGGCTTAAATATCAATCTTTCATAGGAAAAATATGAGCCAGTTTTGTTTTTCTAAGTTAATAAATGCAGTGCAGATTTCTTTCTTGGGTTTTGTTTTTTGTTGTTGTATGTGTTTTGTTTTGTTTTTAACAGATGGTATTTACATTCCTGATGGTGTTATCATCCTTGCTTTACAATATGTCTGTTAATGTTAATATTTACTATTAGGTGAGTTTTCATACATTCATTTCTCCTTTACAAATTTTGTTCTTGTTATCTCCTGCACATTCTACTTAAATCTTTGATAGAAAAAAGTAAAACTGAATTAGACTTTCTAAACTAAAAGCATAGTTCCCATTTCCCCCACTGTATTAATCCAAAATGTACCAATTATAAGTTAACCATCCCACTGAGAAAGGCTCTCTGGACCGATAAACTCCTTGTTAAGTGAAGTATTGGGATTATCCTCATAAGCCTATTTCAGCTAACCACTCTTGCAAATGCAATTCTGGTTTCAACAGGAGCAGAGGAGCTGATCAGGCTTGGGACAAAGAAAAAGCATGGTAACAGCTTACTTGTCTCCTACCAGTATTTGTTTCACCATCAGTGGCTGCACAGTTCATCAGATTCTAATTAGGGGCATAGGTCACTATATTAGCTCAATCAAAGAAATAGTTTTTCCACATTATTTAAAATTAAGAAAGCTTATTAAGAAAATTACATCAACTTGACTTTTCTGCAAACCTCTTTGGTGTTCATAGCAGCTTGATCCAAAATCAATAACTTTAACTGAACCTTGGCCTTTGTGGTATAATAATATGTTCTCCTAAAGAGGGAAAAAAAAAAAAAATCACAGGAAAAAAAGGGTTTTAACACCAAATTAGGTCAGTGAACACTTGGGAAAATAAGCAATGCATAACACATTGGATTTACATTTATCTGCATAATGAAAGCTTCAAACTACAACTTCTTTGGGAACGCATTTGCTAGCATGAGTAGGCATCCAATAATGTGCAATTAACCAAAGCAGATGGGAGATTTGTAAAGGTACCCAGTTTGAAAGTTAGATAGACAGGGACACTAGTCCCTCATGTACAATCCAAGCCACAGCACTGTGCAGTGTGTGGTGCTATTGAGGCACCAGCCAGTGAGAATGCTTGCTTCCCAAAACTCATTGCTGTTAATCTAGTAAAAGACAAACTGCATCTGGTTGCATACTGTGCTAAATTAACCAGAACCATCCTTTTTGTAACCACAGAAAGCCCCTGCCCCATGAATGAGTCGTAGTTCACAATTCTTCCCTCGATTGCTTTCAACCTTCTCCAGGCTCTCTGTAAGCATACCTTTCTCCACCTCACAACGGTGTGATGCAGAGATCCCAAGGTAGTGATGAACAGAAATGGTAGGGCCCTATGGATTGTTAGCTGGGTGCAGATGGGTACAGTTCTGTGTGTCTACAATTTCAGCTTGAGAAGTGATTCTTAAACAGCTAGCTCAGGAATACACTGATGAGTAAACATAGCCTATTAGCTCTCTTCTGCAGAATTCAACTTTATCCTTGTTAAAAATTTACCTAAATCAAGTATTTCCTTTGATTTCCTTTCTGATCATACAGTCTTCTCCACTTCTCAGCAGAGAGATGGCTACCTTTATCAACCAGTTTTAAAGTGATTATACGTCAAAGCTTTGAAGGACTGAGCAGTTCCCAGGTTGATGCCAAATAATGACAAGGTAGCTTCTTGGGTAATTAGTGGACTCATAAGGAAATACTGTGTGTGATAGGAAGGAGAAGCTGCTGCTGCTGAAAGTCAAGGCAAGGATTGACTTTCATTACCCAGGTGCTCTTGGTTCTTTTATGGGAAGAAGCATCCTCTCTCTGCAGCTATCTATCCCTTCATGCTCATGGTAGGACTCTGTCTCTAATACTGAATCTCTCACAATGCAAGGGAGCTAATTAACTGCACAATCAGGTTCTGGGGGCAGTGATTACCTAGCATGAAGTCCTGAAAAACTCCATAGTCTACCTTATGTTGAGAAATATCATAGGAGGCAGATGTAATAACATGTGAGTTTCAGGCAACATAAATTAAATTCATGAAACTGTACAATTGTAGAGTGAGAACAAAATTTTCTTTTAGTTAACTTACTAAATGTTCACTAATATGTTACTCTATTTAAATACAGACTACACTCATTGATCTTGCCAACCTCATTCCTTGTCAGTGGCTGTCTGGAAACAGATTTTCCATTGGGCTAATTGTTTCTGATTAAGATATTTTCATTATCTTGCAAGCCTTGCTTCAAGTTGGACTGGCAAAGATGTTGGCAAGACAATGGGTAGAGACAGTATGTGACTCCTCAGACTCCTAAGTCAAGATACATTATGAAAAGTGAGAGCAGAATTTCATCCTTAGCATTTTTACTTGAGAGCTGAAGTATTTATTTATTTATTTATTGGTTCATTTGCAGTCTTGAAAAAGAAATCAAAAGAAATATTCACCTGAAATGAAAATAGAATTAAAATACTTTAGAAATCTCAGAAAATTGCAAAAAATTAAGATTTGGTCTTAAGGACAATGGAAGTGTTTCACCTAGCCTGAATGCTT